TTAAATTATAGAAATCATACCATTTGATAAGAAAAACTAAAAAGCTTTAAAACAAAGTCTATAGAAAAGAAAGAGCATATTTACTTAAAGTATTTAGGGAACATCATGAAATACAGACAGAGTAGAGTCTAGTCCGAGTTGAGCTAGACGACAAGCGCAGTTCTGAATAGTTTACAGCTAGAGTAATGCAATAAGATATATTTTAGCAAGAAATGCAAACGTTAACCTAGAGTCTTAGCAAAATCCAAACAAGCTTCACTACATCGAGAGCAGATTAATGATATTTTGAGACTAGCTACATCAGAAATACATACATCACATATAGTTGATGGATATATGAAACTTGGCGAATTGCGAGCGAAAAGGTTTTGTGGAGCTTGCCACTTGATTTACGGGCTTTATTTATGGTCGTTATTTTAACTTCGCTTTGTGCTCCACACTCGACTTTGCTTCGTCTTCATCTGCTTTTGCTTCTTTTCATAGCATACTTTGGCGCGTCGTTGCATTACTTTTTATTGCATTGCCAGCAACTGCAGCAGCAGCAGCAGCAGCAGCAACAACAACAGCAACAGCAGCAGCAGCAGCAACAGCAGCAAGTCTCTTGTTGTTGCAGCATATTTCGTTATTTTAAATTTCATTTCCACTCAAGCAGAACTCATTCGAGGCGCACAGCAAAGGCGAGAACAGAGAAAATAAAATAAAATAGCAAAAAAAAAAAAAAAAAAGAAAAGAAAAGAGAAGAAAGCAAAGCAAAAGCAAATAAAAATAGGAAAAAAAGGAGAAAGGAAAACACGAAGCAGCAGGCGAAACGCGCCGCGTTAAGTGCTAAAAGCAGCAGACCATTTTTTATTTTATGCCTTTATTTCCTTCACACAGATATATGTATATATAAATATATATGCACATATATATATATATTTTATTTGTATCTTGAAATTTGTGTGCCAACAAAGAGAACGACGCCCGCCGGCAACAGCAGCAACCGCAGCAGCAGCAACAGCAGCAGCAGCAGTTGTAGCCGGGTCCAAAGAAAAGCCGCGGCGCTGTAGCCGCAGAAAATGGCCGCAGCAGCAATAGCAGCAGCAACAATAACAGCAACAACAACAACAGCAGCAGCAGCAGCAGCAGCAATAAGTGCCACAGCAACCACTCAAGCAAGAGCAACTGCAACAGCATATTGAGCGAATGAATGAAAGCGGCGACAGCTGCGACGGCTGCGCGGACTGCTGAAGATGTTGATGAAGATGAAGACGAAGATGCCGAGCAGCCTGAAGTGCAACACGACAATGCCAAGTGCCAACAGCAACAGCAACAGCAGCAGCAACAGTAAAGGAGAAAATTAAGTGCCAAAGGCAACAGCAACAGCAACAGCAACAGCAGCAACAGTTGCAGCGAAATCAAAACTAAATTTACATAAGAAAACAAGAAAGCACGAGCCGAGCACAAAGCATAATCAAAATAACAGCAACAGCAACAGCAGCAAAGCCAACAACAGCAACAGCAACAGGAGCAGCAACCGCAACATGGCAGCTGCTGCACGTAGCTGCAATGGGCGTGGCCGTGCAGCTATCGCCCTGTGGTTAATATTGCTGCTGGTCGGCGACAGCAGCAATGGCCAGGCGCAAGCAGCAACAGTTGCCGCCACAGCAAGTGCAACAGCCACACAACGTTTGAAGTTTGGTGTTGCGGGCGACACTCCCACACTGATAGCGACTACAAAGCATGAGCAACAGCAGCGTCAGCACAGCAGCAACACCACAGCAACAACAGCAGCAACAGCAACGGCAGCAACAGCAGCAACAGTTGCTAATGCAAGTAGCCAGTCAATAACCACCGCAGCGCCAGCAACAACAACGACAACAACAACAACAACTGAGCAGCTGACACACTCGGTGGATGCGGTGGTGCGGCTGCTGGACTTGGAAGTGACAGCAGCACCACCGATTGGCAGTGGACACGATGGACTCAAGCTGACCAAGAAGAAGCAGCTGCAGCAGCAACACTTTGCCACAGCAGCAACAGCCACCAACAAAATGGAAATAGATACCACTAGCACCACCAGCACCACCAGCACCACCAGCACCACTCCAGATAGCAGCACAGAGCCCGAGCTGTTGCCCGTGCCGAATGGCTATTTGGGACCCATTTTTATGGGCGAGAAAACGTTTAGTGTGGCTCATCCACTGAAGAAACCACTGGCGCCCGACCACCAGGAGGTGGCACAGCGACCATCGCATGACGACACCATCGAGCAGCAGCTGCGGGAGGGACGCATCGTGGAGATTTTAGCGCCCACAGCTCTGCTCGAATCGAACATTGAGAGCAGTTCGCAGCGACCGGCAACCACCACTAGCAGTACCACCACCAGCAGCAGCACCACCCTGCCGGCTGCACCACACACGCAGTCAGTACTGTCAACAACCGTCTTTCAGGTGCCGGAGCCGCAGAGCAGCACCACCCGTCTGCCCATGGCAGCGGCTGAGATAACGGTGGCCGGCTCAGCGGTGCTAGCGGCACCACCGCGCACCGAATCCAAAATATCGGACATACAAATCGAGGTCTACGACTCGACCGTCGACTCGATAGTGGCCTCCACGAATTTCCGCGACACGCAGGGCTACTACCCGAAGCCGATGGAGCCAGCGGTGGGCACCACCAAGCCACCTAGCTCGCCCATGGCCCAGGAGCGCTTCACCCAATACGTAATCGATCGCGCCGATGTCTCCACCCAGCCGGCCGCCGGCATGGGCCAGGCTGTCCCGGGCGGCGGCGTGGGCAAACCCGAGCCAGCTGCCATCGAGATCCACATCAATGTGTCGGAGGCCTTTGGCAACGAGAGCGAGGATCTGGAGTTCTCCTATCGCCAGCCGGCGGTCGGCGATGCGAAGGCGGGCAAGCCCAACGATGAGATACTCGTCGTGGAGATCATCGACAACAGCACCGAGAATATATCCAGCGCCAGCGCGGAGCACTTGAATCTCAGTTCGATGTTCAGCTATCCGTACCACTCGGACGCACCACCGCCGGCTGTGCGTCCGCCGCAGGATGCTGCCGACGAGCTGTTCATGGCCGATACGAAGGGCGGCGATCGGGCTGGCCTGCCGAGGCCACCGCCACCGCCGCCGCCGCCGCCGCTGCCACGCAAGCCGAGCATCGATCGGGACTCGGACACCATCTTCTATATATCGAATACGGAGGTCAAGGTGGGCGAGTCCCTGCCCACGGCCAGCTCCAGCAGCGAGCAGCAGCAGCGCAAGCTTCAGTTCGAGAATCAGTTCTTTCCCGCCAGCTACAGGCAGGATCCGTCGCAGTCGCAGTCGCAGTCGCAGCGCAGCTCAGCAGTCACAGCCCGCTATGAGGAGGACATTATACTCTCGCCGCAGCATCACACGGCCGACGCGCTAAAGATTCTGCGCAGTCCCAGCTCCAGCTCGGATGGAGCACCGCCGCTGGACGTGACCTATGTGGGGGAGTCGGTGATTGAGGTGGAGCAGCAGTCGGTGCCGCCACAGGTCGCCGCCAGCTCCCAGCAACCGGACATCATTATACAGCCAGCGGTGTTGCCCGACCTGGCGATCGGAGTGCCCGTTATTGGGGAGCTGCCGCCGCAGATCGAGCTCAAGGAGATCGACTATATGCCGGGCGAGCTGATCGGCCAGGGGCGCAGCATCTATGAGAACGACATCGAGAGCAACGGGCTGGGTCTGTCCAACGATCCGGATGTCATTGAGAGCTCCATTCAGTATGGCGGCGATCTGATTGATGACGGTGCTGGCGGCGGCTTCGACGGCGTCGAGGGCTCCTATCCATTCGAGAGTCCCACACATCGGCTGCAGCAGCAGGACGCAGAGCAGGCGCAGCACGGACTCAGCCATCAGTCGATCAATCATGGCTTCAGTCACTTGCATCGCGAGGAGCTGCCCATGGCGGAACTGCTCAATGCCACGCTCCAGCTGCACAATGAGAGCGTCAAGGGCACAAAGTCGGGCGCGGCCTCTGCCATGGCGCCGCTGCTGCATGGCGAGCGCATGGGCAATGCCACAGCCCTCTCCGAGGATCCGCTGGCCAACTACGATGGTGAGCTGAATCGACTGAAGCAGCTGGTAACTGTCAACTAACCTCTGTCCTCTGTCCTCTGTCCTCTCCTTCTTTCTAGGCTTCCTGAATCTCTTTGCCGTTTCGATGGGTCTCATCATAGTCGTGCTGCCCGCCGGACTGCTGACCTCCATGTATTGCGCCGTGCGGTAAGTAAACGATTCTATATGCTGTGCATGAGTGTGCCGAAGCTTAACTCCAGCTGAAGCCACATATATATATATATATATAGGAGCTCGTAAGTCAATGTCAGCTTTTCGAGGGATCCCTCGGATTGCTCAGGCATTGCTCGGCTGCAATGTGCATGAAACTCGAAAATAATTGCGATTGCTCAATGAAGCTGAAAGCAGCAGACAGAAGGGGTAGAGAAGGTGGCATGAGGCGGTAAGCAGGGGGCGGGGGAATATTGAAAGCCAAATGGTGGCAATTGCTGCAATAAGCACGCGCGGCAATGGCAACGTAAAGCAGGACGAAACTACCTACTAATCCGACGCCCTGTTTATTACACAAGAACCAGGCGAGGAGGGGGACGGGGGACGGGGCATAGAGAGCCAGCCAGCTGCAGTTGCTTTCAACGTGCCAAAAGGGCTACCTGAAGCAGCAGCAGGAGTAGCAGGAATAGCAGGAGCAGCAGGAGCAGGAGCAGGAGCACCAGCAGCAGGAGTAGCAGCAGCAGCAGCATGTCACATGCACACACACGTGGGCTTGTATGCTCTGCTTAGGAATAAGCATAATACACATGGGAGTTGACTTGGCTTGGGTGGGCGTGGCAAATCGCATTTATCAGCTTCATTCTGGCATTTTATTTCTCGCAGCAAATCTGTGACTTAGCCAGAACTTGGGTGTGACGCAATGTCAGCACGCAACATCCTTTCAGGCGAGACCGAGTTGCTGCCTCTGCCTCTGCCCCTGCCACTGCCACTGCTGCTGCCCGCGCACAGGCTCCTGCGATACACATAAATCTCGAGCATGCCACGTAAATGGGAATTTGTTGCCGTTGCTTTTTATATGCGGGCACTAAATGCCAAACAAAATGAAGGCCATGCGTGGCGGCTGGCGGCTGGCGGCTGGCAAGAGAAACAGAAACAGAAGCCGAGGCAGAGGCAGAGCCAGGAACAGGAACTGAGCTGCTGAGCAACTGTGTGAAGGGGGCGGCATGGGCGGGGCGTCAAGATGAAAGCTGCCCCGAAAATCTAAAGGCGCCACAAATCAACGGCGGGCGTCGACAGACAGCGCCGGAAGCGGAAGTTGCCCCCTCCCCCCACAACAAGTATAGACTGAGAGAGAGGGGGGGGGGGGGGTGGCGAGAGAGGGAGACAAGTGAAGATGATGAAGATGGCAAGTGGCATTGAAGCTAACAAGGCGACGGTGACGGTGACGGTGACGGCGATGGAGGCAGCGGCGCCTCTCGCCTTGTTGCAGGCCCCAAAGCAAACGCATAAAACGTCAAAATGGCAACCGCAAACCAGTTGCCAGTTGCCAGTTGCCAGTTGCGAGTTGCCACAAAAAGGTGCCACACGAGATGAAAGTCGGCAAATGCGCAACGGAAATAAATTTGTGCCTGCCTTTTTTTCTGCTTCTCCTCTTCACCCGCAACACACGGAATATGACTGCGGCGACAGGGTATACCACCCCATACGGGCTTGATTAGGCACATGAAAGCTGTGCATAGATCAATCTCGCAGCTGAAATGTGATATGTTGCATGCATATCTGAACCACAATTTGTTATCGATATCTTTCCGAATCTCTCCATATCTCTTGCCCAGAAGCTCTTAGAACCAAAGACTTTTGATTTGAATTATAGCTAAACGTCCATCTCATTCTCCCAGTAAAAAAGTTGAAGCACTTGAAGAAAACCTAAGGGTGCATATCTGCACAAAAGTTTCTTATCGATATATACTCTCTCTCTCTCTCTCCGTCTAATACCTCAACTCGAGAACTTTTAGAGCTAAAGAATGTAGGTTTAGTTCATCTCATTCTTTCATCAATGAAGTTGAATCACTTGACGGAAATCTAAAGGTGCATATTTGAAGAACAGTTTGTTATCGATATTTTTACTCTCTCTCTCACTCTCTCTCTCTGTCTTATACCCCAACTCAAGAACTCTTGGAGCTAGGTGGGCAATTTAGATTTAGTTCATCTCATTTTCTCAGTAAAAGAGTTGAAGCACTTGACAGAAATCGAGAGGAGCTCGTTCTAAGAACAGTTTGTTATCGATATCTCTTACTCTCAACCTATCCTTCTCCCTCTCTCTCTTATACCCCAACTCAACAACTCTTAGAGCTAGGGAATTTAGGTTTAGTTCATATTTTTCGCTCAGTAAAAGAGTTGAAGCACTTAACGGAAATCTAAAGGTGCATATTTGAAGACTGGCTTGATATCGATATCTCTTCCCCTCTATCTATCTCTCGCTCTCTCACTCTCTGTCTTACTCTGTCTTAGAGACAGATGAACCAAATCATCGCATTCTCTCAGTAAAAGAGTTGACACACAGTACTGGGTAGGGTATGCTCTAGTCGAGCATAGGCAATTGAAGCATTCATCCTTTTTCCAAGCTGCTAACGGTGGTCACACACCGAGGCAAGGCAGCTGAAGCACTCATGTGTTTGGTTGAAAAAGGAAATTGCACAATAAACTGTCGAGACGAGAAATTAGTTGTGCGTGTGTGTGCGTGTGCGTGCGTGAGTGTGCGTGCGTTGTGCGCGACAATTTGTACAAATGTTTGCCAGGAAAAATAAGACGAAAAACGAAAACGAAAAAGAAACGCATTAAAAACGAGAGTAAAATGCGAAGCTCTTTCAAGCATGCCAAGGGATGAAGAATGCCTGAGAGGGACGTAGGACCCAGGACCGCAGGACCGCAGGGTGGCTGAAATGGGGGCTACGGGAGAGAGGGTCGGAGCACGCAGATTAGGAATGTAAACAACAATATCTATCACTCATATGCAACACACCTTAAGCTGCGCTTGTTTTTCATGCATTTCGCAAAGCACTTTGCCCTGAAGAGTGAGTCATAAGCTCGTTTCTCTTGCTGCCTGCGTCTTCTACTTGTACTAAGCCCTGTGAGTGCTGTCAGCACTTCTCGGCCAGATGGGCAGCACTTAAGTGGGTTGTCATAGCTGTCGTGGTTGTTGTGGATACCAATAAACTGTTGTAAATTAGGAAGCTTCATACAGTTTGCATGCAATCGATTTACAAAAATCCTTGCACATTCCTTAGCGCAAGCAGCTCGTGTTGAGTGCTGCATCGGAGTTGTTTTCTATTTTGTTTTTTACAACTAATGGGCATTACTTACTTTTTTTGTTAAACTGTGCGGATTGTGATTTTTTTTTATGCATATGGTAATCTCGCTTGAAAGGTTTCCTGAGTGGCGGGTTTTTGAGTATTAATCTTTGCTACGTGTTTCTTCATGCGTTCTCTTGTAAATGTTTCATGGTGGATGGGCAGCACTTTATGGCTCAAGTGCGTCATCAACAGCTTTGCGTTTACTTTATAAAAGGCCACGATATACGCATCATCTGCTAGAGCTGCTGTGGGAATCAAGAAGAGATAATAGAGTTATACACTGCTCAGAGTTTTATAGCCTTCAATGGGCAGCACTGTTACGTGGGAGTTTGGCTGGCCCTACTATTTTCACTTTATATAAATTTAAAGAACCCTTCTCTCTCCCCCTCTCTCCCTCTCGCTCTCTCTCTCTGCTATTGAAATTCTAGAGCTTATTTATAGTTGGGATTTTTTAGTACATGGGCAGCACTGTTAAGTGTATTAATCGAATATTATGCCTAAGCAACACATCAAACTGAGCGACATATGATATTTCATGCTTTTTATACACAGCTGGGCTGCACTTTCTGTCTCACTCTTTAAGCAAATTGGCAGCACTGATGCAAGCACTTATGATTGCCCCACAAATAGGCAACAAATATTGCTGTGCAGCCCAAACTGCACATTCTATATGCATAGCATTTTACATACTTATCTTTATATCTGACTCATATTAACTTACTCTCTCTCTCTCTCTTTCTCCCTCTCTTTCTCTCTCTCTATCTCTCCATCTCTTGTGCGTGTTCTGTGTGTGTGTTGTCTTTTCTTCTTTCACAGTTATTTGCTGAACAAGAATGCGAATTCAAGTGCCGCTGGCGATGACAGCGAGCAGGGCCACGGCCAGGACTCTAAGCATGAGGTAAGTGCCCAACTAGCTGCAGTTGATGATGATGATGATGATGATGAAGCAGCTTAACAAGCTATATTTCACAATGATGATGATGGTGATGATGAAGGCGCAACAGCGAATAGATGACAAAGTGCTTGATGAACGAAGCTGCGCGATGAAAAACTTCCCCATTTGAAATTCGGAGGCAAATGTTGGCAACTTTTGGCTGCATGGCAGCACCACGCCCACCGCCCATTCAGATAAAAAAAACCTTTAAACAATGGCAAAAATGTTGCGTAAATTTGTGAACATTTCCACAGTGTAATTGAAATGCATTCAAATAGTTGCGGAAACTCGCAAAACTAATTCAAGTTTGGCTTCTCCATTCTGTTCAGCTACATTGTGCGAGTGTGTGTGTGTGTTTGTACACTGAAAGAAAGAAATAAAAGCCCTGTGCACTCTGTTACTTTGCAGTCGTCGTCGTCGTCGTCCTCGTCGGTCGCCTCCTTCTCGCCGCCGACATCGCAGCCGAGCAGTCAACAGGCAGCTGCCGCAAAGGCGATGCCAAATCGAAACTCGAGTCCGGAACTGAATCTCAATCCGAATGCATCGCTCATTCGTTCCATGTCGCTGGCGCTGGCCAGCGGGGTGCAGTGCATTGAGTTTCAATTTGAGGCGAGCCCCGATATTCTGACGCCCCCATCTACGGGCGCTGCCACGCCCACAATCTCTGGCGCCGCCTTCACGTTCAGCGGTTCCGTCACAAAGATGACGCTCAAAGATAATCATCTAATTGTTGTCACCGAAGAGCGACATGTAAGTTCAACTGTGAGCAGCTTGAGCAGCTGTTAGCTAACACCTGTTACTTAACAGCTGTTAAGCCGCTCAACTGCCTGTCTTGTCTTGCCTGTTGTCGTCTCTTTTACTCGCACCATGTCATAAGACTAGCGAAGGATACACACTTGCTCACAGCAGGAGTTGTTCACCCTAGTGAACTAGTTTTTTCGCAAATATAGAGTAACTCTTTAATCAATTATTATCCATTCATATTTAACGGTTGAGTCAGTGCACTGCACGGGTGAATTCATTGTTGTTTAAGAAGCAGTTCTTAAGAACTGGAACTAGTTCACATGAACGGTCATTTGTACTAAGTATTTCTATCAAATCTAGTGTAACATACAAATTTCTAAATTCAATTTGATTTAGATATTATGAACTAGTTCACTTTGCATTTTTTAGTCATTTGACTTAACTTTTTACTGAGCTAGTTCTAGCTGGTATACACAAAAATACTAAGTTTTTATAAACATATATTTCAGATAACAAATGTTTTAAATTTTCCTTAGTCTCGCACAGTTCATTTTAGCTAGCTCACACGCTTAGCTGATTAGCTAGTTCTGCGACTCTTTCTGTGAATTTAGTGTGCATCTTTAGAGCTATATTTATTCTACGAATATCTTTGTTGTCTCTGTCTCTCTTCCTCTTCCTCCTTCATTCTGTATGTCATTGTCTGCGCCCTTGTCGTAGTACTGAATGCTCGATTGATTGATTGGTTGATATGGTCGATGTTGTTGTTGATGTTGTTGATGTTGATGTTGTCGATGTTGTACTGTTGATATTGCCTGCCTGAACATGTCTAAATGTTGTATATTAGCTGGTAACTAGTTATAGTTGACTGTCTCTTTCGCTCTTAGCTTATAGAAACTACAACTGTCTCTTTTGTCCTCTTGATTCGACGCATAGCTGTCTCCTTCTTTCTGTCTCTCTTTCTTTCACACTTCTGTTAATGGTAAGCTCCTTTAGCTAATTCTTTGCCGTTGCTTTGGAGTGAGATAGAGATAGATGCATTCCGTATAAGAAAAAACTGTCTTCCTCCCTGTCACCCGATGCATGAGCAGCCCTCATATCATTAGCTGATTCTTAGGCTAACCAACAGCTAGCTCTTGTCTCATCAATCAACACTTGAGTGGAGCAGAAACTGGACATCAGTCAAGATGCTGTTCATTGAGTGCGAAAGAGACAGCTCTATCAGTCTATCACTAGCATTAAAAAGTGTGCCAAGTGTGTGTTTACCCCTCTTCAATGTAAAAGCTTAAGCTCTTCATGTCACCCCCCTCTCGCCCTATCGGCCTGACTGTGATCGATCCTGAGCAACTGCAGCAGATGTATCTGTTGGGAAATCCTTTGGCTGACATCGTTTTATATAAACCTGTCCCTATACCTCCCCAGCTTGTTTGCTTGGAATACCCTGTACCTAAATGATAACCGCTTGAAGGGTATTTTAAATGGTTAGAGAGGCTAGAGGCAGATATATTGGTATTTCAATATGTATTTTTTCGTCTAGAATCTCATCAGTTCGCTATATATCGCTTTTCGGATATCAATAGCATTATCTAGGCTCTGCCAGTGTGTACAAATATTTTTTCAAATTCCTTTACAGGGTTTATTGAGTCCAAGAGACGTAATAAAATAGTTGAAATAAAAGTTATATCAACTCTGTTTCGTCAGCTCGAGTTTGTAAGCGCTTCCCATTCATATAGGGTATTTGCTAGTCGAGCTGCCACTTAGAGTCGCTTCTCAGTTACTGTCCTGTCGTCCTTTGGGTTTCTTTGCCACACTCTGGCTGCAGTCGAGTGCCAGTTATTTGTCAAGCGACCCAGCTCTGTCACACCTGTGTAAAGCATTCTTTCTCTCTCTCTCTCACATTCACACTCACACACACACTGTCCCTCTCCACCCTCTCCCCCCCTCTCACTCTCTCTCTCTCTCTCCCTGACTCTGTCTATCTCGTTCTATGCAAGGTGTAAATTTGTCATAGGGCAAAGCATATGCAAATGCAATTTTCGGCACTTTCCGCTTGGCAGCCACTCGATTCGTCTCCTGGCCACTGCTGTCAAGCATTTAGCACTCCTTCCATCTTCAGCTCGAGCACTTCTGCTCCTCCCACTTCTCGCTCACTCACACTGTGTCTGTGTCCGTTGCAAGTGTTGTCCCACTGTTGGCGCTCCTTTGCTGACTTCTCGCTATTTTCTCTTTTTCTCCCTCTCTCTCTCTCTTTCGCTACTTCAGGACATTTCGCGCAACGCCCGCGAGACGAAGATGCACACGGACAAGGACGGCGTCTTTGTGGTGGAGGTGGCACGCGGCATTGACTCGAAACAGCCGCCGGATAGCCCCGCCGCTGGCGTAGACATCACGGAGCTGCCCTTCGATACTAGCAGCAAGCTGTCGGCGCTGGAGGAGCGCAGCCTGCCGCCCAGCCACGAACAGGTCCAGATCCATGCACCACCCAGCGATTTTGCCAATCAGCCAGCTGCAGTCGGCGTGGGCGCAGCTGTGGGCCTGCAGCTCATCGAGGAGGAGCAGCTGCTGCCGGATGAGGAGCATGACACTGACCGCCAGCAGCCCATACAGTCCCAAACGGGCCTCTCCCAGTCTGACTTGAGCTCCACCTCTTCGAGCGACTCGAACAAGCGCTACTCCTATGGCAACCAGGAGCTCTATGTCATCGAGCAGCCGGGCTATGCCAATGACTCGCCCATGGTGCTCATGTCTCAACTGGAAATTGGAGCTGCCAATGTGCCAGAGCGAATGCCGGAGCAGCAGGAGCCACAGGAGCAGCAGGAACAACAGGAGCAGCAGGAGCAACAGGAGCAGCAGGAACAGCAGGAGCGGCAGGAGCAACAGGATCAACAGAAGCAGCAGGAGCAGCAGGAGCAGCAGGAACAGCAGGAGCAGCAGGAGGAACAGGAGCAGCCGGTGCCAGCACCAGCTGCCTTTGGAAATGAGAACGAAACAGAGGCTGAGCAGATAACTGTGAATGTGGAGGAGGCTAAGGAGCAGCAGGCAAAGGAGGAACCAGAGAACAATTATGACAGCTTGATGAGCCTGCCGGCGCCGCCCTCAACCGAGGAGATTAAGGAGCTCAACGATTTTACGCTGATGGAATCGAATCAATTGGATTCATTGCCGCCACCACCGCCACCACTCAGCGAGCCAGCCATTGGAAATGGACACCAGCACAACGAGGACGCGGAGGAGGAGGAGGAAGAAGAGCAAGAGGAGCAGAAACAGAAGGAGCTAAAGGAGCAGGAGCCGAAACAGCAGCTGAAGCTAGCCAATGGCAAAATTTGCGCACCACCAAACACCGCTGAACACACCAATGGAACTGGCACCGGGCAGGAGCAACCATCGACTCTGACGCCGCCGGCCTCGCCCCCCGCCTCGCCCAGCGGTGCGACATTGTGCGCTGGGAGCCTCGCGAATGGCATACATGCGGTGCCGCAGCCCATGGCCGTCGATGTGAATGGCAGTTAAGAAGAAGACGAAGAAGCAGCAGCAGCAGTCACAAAATAATGAAGAAGAAGAAGCAGAAACTGCAAGCAGTGAAAGAAGGTATGCTATGCAAGAGTACTCAATATATACTAATCTCTAAGCTATTTAGAAACTCGATCAACGTGGTGTTGTTATATTTTTTTTTTTTGCAAGCGGTGGGTGAGGGTCCCCACCCACACACAAACACACATGTTTGTGCGTGTGTGTCGAATGGTTAGGCTAGACTAAGCGTTAGGCATCATAAAATAATCCAAAAAAAAGAAAAGAAAAGAAAAAAAATTATTAAAATAAAAATAATGCTAAAAGAATTTCAATTTTTCCACTTAACTGTTTGTTGATTTTTCAAATATTGATAATAAAAACAAAAAGAAAGAGCAAACATAAGAAAAAGCTAAAAATAATATGTAAGAACAATTCAAATGCGATTAATATTACAAATAAAACATAAATAATTGTTTGTCTATTTGCGGCTACAGCTATTTCAATGTCTATCTACAAATAACTAACAAATAAGCCAAACACCGAAACCAAATAATATAACGCCCCCAAGCGCCCCCTCCCTCCCCCATGACCGCCAAACAGAAACAATGATATACAAAATACCCAAAACACAATTAGAGAATGCATGAATAATACGTTTCAATTGTTTGCACACAAATTGTTCAGCTATCTATTGATTGCGCAAGCCAATATCGAGCCAAATTACCGAGTGAACTTTTGCAAGTCGAGTTTTGCGAGGTATGACAGTCCTTAACTATGCCAACTACTAGCCAAGGAAACTCAGCATTTTCCACAGACAGAGCTATAAAATTTGATATGCGGGACAATTGGGATCTCAGTCAAGCAGTAAATATGCCCAGTGAACTCAGCATCTACAAAGAGCTCAGCATTGAATTTCGGGTTACAGCTTGAGCTCATACCAAACTCAAGCTATGCAAGAGTTCTGTGGAAAAGTCTCACTACTTTTCATAGCAGCCCAGTGAACTCAGCTTCTACACACCGCAGAGCTTTGCATTTTGGTATGCGCACTACGCTCACCATTAACTCTTTAGATACAGCAGCTCTGCTGAAGAGCTCTATGATGTCCGCCACTGACCCAGCGAACTCAGCTTTTACCAGCCGCAGAGCTGTGAGTTTTGGTGTGCAAACTAAGCTCGATCGTAGCTTCATAGGGTCAACAGCTCTACTGATAATCACTAATAGTTCGGCAACTAACTTAGCTAATATAAGCAATAGCACACTCGCATTCGGTATGCCATCATTTCTAGTGTCAATGGTTTACATTAAGATATTTCTTCAATTCAATATACACTTGGCATAGATAGATACAAACAGGTGTGAAGATGCGTGCAGGGCGTATCTACAAGTCTCGTACTCCGATATTTATTGACATTTATTTTCAATTTTCTTTGTGAAACGTAATCAAATGTGCCGAAATTTATATAGAACAAGACAAGAAAACACAATTTACAATAACAATTTATACAATATATAAGAACTTTACTTATACAAAATACGATACGCGAGCAAAACTTGTGTACTCTTTGAACCACTAGCGACTAGCTAATAGTTTTCTTTTTGGTAAAATAAAAGCAAACTACAAACAAGAAAAGTAAGATACAAAGAAAAACAAAACAAAGGACTTCAGATTCAGAACAAAGCATGAACTATATACTTATGTATGGRTGTACTATGTATAACTAAGATAAACAATTGAATACTCCGAAAAAGAAAACGTAATTTAAAGAACTCAACGTAAACAATTATACAATACAAGCAAAAGAAAACCAAAAAAAAATAACTCTCAAAATAAATAGACGTAAAAAAATTTATTACAGAGGAAGAAAAACTCAATATTATAGAAATGAAGAAGAAGAAGAAGCAGAAACATTCTAGAACTAAAGGATAAATGATACATAAATCAAAGAATAGTATGAAAAGTAAGAGAAATACGTGCACTGCAAGTGGTACGTGTTTGTGTTTTTTTTTTTACAAGTAGAGAATTATATATGCAATACCCAAAGGATATAGCAAGTTATATATGTAGATCGGTTCCGATCAGTTCCACAAACGAACGGTGGAACGAAAGTTTTTTAAGTTTTTTGTTATCTTTCGATTGTTTTCAATTGTTTTATTGACAATTCGCGGTTTTAAGGAGCAGGCACAACATAAAAAGATAAAGATAATTAATACATATATATAAAACTGATTAAATGATATATGATATATACTTAAATAATCCCAAATAGAATTAATATTTAGGCAAGTGCCGGAATCCTTTTTTTTTTTTTCAATAAGAAAAAGCCAAAAACAAAAAAGAAAATGAAAAATGGAGAAAATAAAAAAAAAAAAACAGAATAAGTAAATGTGATTGTTATTTAACTTAAGTTATGCATTAAATTGATATTTGATATGAATGTGTATGTGTGTGTAAGGTATGCCAAAATACATRTATGTATGTATACTCTATATAGATATACATAGATATATAAATATATAGCCCAAGTTAGCCAAAGATTGACTCGATTGAGCGCAGAGCATGGAACAGTAAAAGCTGAACAGATCAAACGGTAACTAATAAAGGCTATAATCTGACCTAGTATATATATGTGAAGCCCAAGTTCTATATATGTATACTAGGATTTACCAGCGATTGGAATAATGAATAAACTGAAATTCAAGATATTAAGAAACCTATTTTATTTTATTCGATATGTGGATTTATTTACAGAGTTGCGACGGTAAGTAATTTGGATGAATCCATGGAGACTATGAGAGAGTATGAGCTCAGATATATTCAGAGGACTATTGAGATGAAAGATACACAAAATGTAGCCAAATGCAGGCCAGAATGATTTCAGGCATAAGAACAAACACAACTCGTATTTACATATTCGCCAGAACATATCAATAATAACAATAATATTATCAATAATAATTTTTCATTAAATATTCGAGCAAATTTGAATTAATTTAATGCGGTTTTCATATTTCTGTGGCCTTGTTCGTTAATTGGAAAATCGACATTATTTTCATCTTGAGCCTTCTGTCCTGCTGTCAGACTCCCCATCTCTCTCCCTCTGTCACTCCCTCTCTCACTCTCTCTCTCTCTCTCGCTCTCTCTCTGTCTGTCTGTTAACATATCTTAATTTGATGAAATTTTCAGCTCAATTTGCTCAGTGGCCAACTTTGCCTTTGACTTTTGGGCTCTGCCCGGCTTGGACTGCAGTGGGTCAGTTTGTATACTTCTTGCATACCAATGCAGGCCGCACACACACATACACACACACACACACACACACACACACACACACACACATAAATTGGTACACATCCTTGGGGGCTTCGCTTGGCCGCAACATGTGTCGAGCATGTCAACGTCGAGTGCCAATGCACCACTTGCTCCAATTGCTGTTGCCCCCGTTGGCTCAGTGTGCCACGCCTTCTTATCTTGGGGAGCGGGGGCCGACAACATTCGATCGGGCGTTGGTATCAATAAAATTAACAAGCCCTTAACAGCCCACTTAAGCGGCTTGGCCCGCACGCTTTAAGGCCCATAAAGCGGGCCCAACTCGAACATAGAGCGAAAGGGAGGGAGGGAGAGTGGGGGGTGGGCAGAGGATGTTGGTAGCCTATAAACAGCGAGTGTGAAGCAGCAACACAGCTGGGAGTCCGCCAGCGGCGCAGTTGGGGCCTAGCCAGTGGGGCATGGCCGTGCGGCCAGTGTGGCAAGTTGTCTATAAAACGCTGCAGTTTAGTTGCACGTTTTGAGTTTCACAGACGAAAGGCGACAATGGCCGGGAATGACAGCTCAACAAGCACTCCAACTGCTCTCCCCAAAAAGGATACCCTCTCATTACACTGCACACAAAAGCCAACGAGAATATCAAATTATATTCGATATGGCCCTTGATGCGTAAGTATTATGTAAGTAGCACGAGCTCAGCAAAACTTAAATTTAAAATAATTAAAATTGAATATTCATATAACTTATATTTCATTTTATATTGTATATATA